CTGGATCTTGCGCCTTGGCTCCTTTTTAGGGGAAATTGAGATCAACGCCTTATCCACCTGTGATCTAGGGTAATACTCGCTGCCATTGCTCCCAGGATCTCATCTTCACCCTTGCCACACTTGGTGATCTCGAGAGTCCATGGCGACAGTAGAGCAGCCCACTGACCTAACCGTCCCTGCAAGGCTGTGGATCTGAAGAGCCACGCCAAAGTAGAGTGTCGGGTCACACAGGGATCGGACGTCCGACCAAGGCATTGTAGTTAAGATGTAGGATCCGCAGTAAGGCCAGTACCTCCTTCTCTGCGATACCATAATTCAGCTCATTTGACTTCAGAGTGCGGCTCGCAAACAGCACGGGGTAGTAGATCTGGTCGTATTCCTGCATCAATGATCCCAAAATGGCCCAGTCACCAGCATACACTACAACCGTATCTCTTCGATCCGGATCGAAGTGCCGCAAGATCGGAGTAGTGACGACCTTGGCTTTAAGCACACTGAACGATCGATAGGCATGGATCCAACGCGGATCCACTTCAGTGGGATCTTGCGCCCCCAGATCCATGGTTTTTGTGGTCGATCGTTTGATCCTCGTGTACCCCTTGATCCACACTCTCTACCTCTAAGACTCGTTTGATCTGTACTTGAACGGTGTCCTTCATCATCGCGGTGAAGTCGATCTCTCGTAATTTATACAGAACTGACGCATAGATCGCGTAGTCTTCGATAATTGCTGTAATAGTTCAGACTTCCCAAAAATGACTGCATGGCTCTAAGTGATACCGGAAATGCTAGATCAATCAATGCCGACAAGTCTGTCGGATTCGTCTCCAGTCCATTGTGGGATACCTTATGACCCAGATATTCCACCTAAGGTATTCCCCAGAAACTCTTGACCACACTGATCGACAGATTCCACTTATCACACGCTTCGAGTAAACCTTCGACTCGATCACATAGTTGATCCCAGTTATTGGCTGGGATCAGGACGTCGTCGATATATGATCTACGTCTAAGCACCGATGGCTTGCCTGGATCCACCGGTTCCCCGTCCTCAAACATATCCAAAGTACTTCCGTGATCTTCGGACTTCGGGATCCGGGTGAATCCATATAACGCGTTGTCGATCATACATTGATAGATCTGGGGCGCATTCTTCAAGCCGAAGGGCATTCGATTCCACTCAAATCGTTCAAACGGAGTGATAAAAGCCGAGACCAAACAAACACGATCCGTCTCAAAATCCACTCGCCATATCCAAAGAACAGAACGAGAGTGTTGATTCCAGATCTTCGAGTAGGTCGTTGATCAAGGGCATTGGGTAGACCATCACCTGAGTTAGACTGTTAACCAACCGGTAATCGACGCACAACCTGATATCCACTCCGTTTTTCTTGATGATCATCATGATCGGGGAAGCCCACGGCGATCTAGAGTAATTGATCATCTTGGCAGATAATAGACCCTTGATCAAGTCTGCCAGCTTCTCCCTGAACTGGATCCCCAACTTACGACACTTCTGGGCGATAGGCCTCGCTCCTCCGACATAGATGTTGCATACAACACATCTGGCCGCCGGCGGAAGGGCATTTCCTTTGCCGATCAAGAGGTGTCGGAACTTCCAGATCCTTTGGCGAAGTTGATCAATTTCTTTTGGGGTGTGGTTATCCGATCCACATAGTTGAATGTCCTTGATCTTCACATCTTCCGCGTACAGATCACTTCCTTCATGGTAGTATATACATTCATCATAATCTTGATCTGAGCTCCAGGTGTGGTCCAGACCCGACGAGCCTGGTTGATCTTCAGCAACAGGTGATGATCCATATCCGTTTTTTGCGACATAGATGCGACGCACTTGTCCTTCAAAGGATCACTGGCCATCGGTCCTGTCCCAGATGGTACACTCATCATTGATGGAGGATCTGATCCACCGCAATTCGACGGTGATGCTTCTTGATCCTGACATCCCAAACGGAGTTGATCCTGGTTGGGGACTCCAATCCCATTTCGACTTTCCTCTTTTCGTAATTCCACTGCACTTGTAGCTCTCACCAACAATGAATCAGTCGCCCAGGCGTCTGGTGCTACTTGATCGAGATCTTCCAGTGCCTTCTTGACCGTTACAGCATGCGATATAGAGTCTCCATCTGAGATAGATGACAGATACGACTCCTCACTTGCGACAGACGCTAGATCCAACGGTCCAATCTCTGACGGCGAGTTGTCCGACGGCGAGTTGTCCGACGGCGAGTGGTCCGAAGGTAGGCAGTCAGGAATATCTTGATGCTGACTCACCTCGACCTTCCGACACTGAATCGACGTCGTCTTCGGTCTCTGGAGTATTGCGCGCGGAGTTTTGTACTCGGGTCGCTCCACCGCGGGTGCGAGCGTGATCTTGATCTCCATATCTTTGGATCGAGTGTCTGTCTTGGCTTCCAATGCTACATTCTGCCACTCCATGTAACAACGAGAGCCGATCGAGATGAATCCTGGTATTCGTGGCACATGGTCTCCAGCCAGCCAGACCCCGATCCGTTGGTCTTGATGTAGGATCAACACCTCGTCCCCGATGTTGGTGGTCGATATATACTTCGTCCTCCCTGGTCCATCGGATATTGTCGGCACCCATCGATCACCACGCGTGATCCACAGCTTGCGTGGATCGACGACCTCTGGCGCAATGACAGTTCCACCGACTCTCCTGATTGGATCCGAAGGTATTGGCCGACGTTTACGATCTTCGCCTTGTCACTCGTCTACCGCTAAGTTGGATCTGGACTTTATCCGGCAAACTGATTGATCCATGAGCTAGATCCAGGTGGATCCCGGCTGAAACCATGAAGTCCATACCAAGTATAGCTTGTTGGCCAGTCAGATCACCAACCCAGATATCGAAGAAATATACCAGTGATCCAGCGAGAGTTACATTGATCCGGGTTCTTCCTTCTGTCCGGCACCAATTCCCACACAGTCCTGGATCTGACTTGAGTCGATATAGCACCCAACCTTACGAGCAAAGGCGGTGTCCACGATGGACACCTCGGTGCCGGTATCTAAGAGTAAGATCGCCTTCTCATTGTGGATCTTGCCTGTGATCTTCGCCTGGCGAAACCATTTTTCCCTGGCGAATGATGCTTCCAGTAGTCACGATATTCTCCCGGTAGTAGATCCATGGTCGTTGACAGACAGTACTCCAAGATATTGCTAGGAATCTAGATCTCCGGAGTAACCTCATGATCTGTGGGTTTAAACCATAGATCTGGATCTTGCTGCCTCTAATAACCTCGTGACTCTCCTGGTTGGAGATCCACCCTCATGGTGACTTCGAATCTGGCATACTAGTCGACTTGGCGAAGACTTGAAATTTTGAAGGTATGTCTCCCATGTAGATCACATGTATTATCGTGTAGATCTGGTCTTTTACTAACCTGATCTACCGATGTCGTGTTCCCAAATGCATAGATCCAGTACCTAGAATGCTCGGCTCGGATCGGATTCCACCCCGACGAGTGTCCTAGTTTAACATCGTCTCAGCAGCTTCGGGTAGCATACCCATGTGTTTCATGGGGTTAAACCAGACCACTTTAATATAGGCAAATGCCGGAATGTGTCAAATTTTCCCATGTCATACAGTTCTCCACATCCGTGACACACGAAGAGGCAGTGATCCGAGGGTCTCCTCTCTTGCCATACTTCGTGCATGTAACACGCCTCCAGCAGCCAAGATCCGAGTGCTTCCTGGATCCACAGTGCGAACATCGATCTCGCCTGAAGCCATTACTGTAGATCTTCGTGTTGTGATCCTCATGGCAATGACCACGGTCCGGAAGTCGTGGATCCAAGTTCGTCGACCCCTTTTTCCACCTTCGGGGTGACGTCTTCATTCGCTGCCAGGAAGATCCTACGATGACTGTCAATGTCAGAGTCGGATCCACCCGATCCGTCGGACTCGCTGTCGGATTCAGAGTCGTTAACTTGGATCTGGATCGCACGTACTTGTTTCGCTGAAGCAAAGGGTGCCGTATTGGTTGGCTTCTGCCGATACTTGCTAGATCCAAACGCAGCCTTCTTCTGACGATTCTTAGCTCGATCTCGAGCGCGGAGGACTTCTTCAAGATCGTCCGCGTCAGTCAACTGTAGCAGAGTTAACCGTTTTGCTAGATCTTGATCCTCAAGCGTCTCGATGAAATGATCCACATGTTCACGTCGTTCCTTCGCGCTGCCATCCTTGATCTTCAGTCTCGCGCGGAGTCCCGCCACGTTGAGCCGATACAAGTAGTCCAGTGGCGACTCGTCGGATCTACGTCGCGTAGGGTAGTATTGTCTTGATACCAATACACCAAGTCCGCAGTACTGGACCTGGAAGGTGCGCAGCAGATCGCTCCATTTGTTGCGAGTGGATCTACTCAGCTGCCGGTACCAGTTCTTCGCGGATCCAGCGAGAAGATCTGCGAAGGTCAAACACTTTTCGTCAACTGATGCTTGATCTCGCATGAACGCGGACTTGACTTTGCTGATCCACGCTCGCGCTCAATCTTCGTCTTGATCCTTTCCAGTCAACTCCTTGAGATCCGAGATCGCGGAGATCCGAACACGCTGTATCATGGTGGAGCTTGTGGATCCAGCAGCAGCAGTGGTCACGGTGGCTTGTGCAGACGTACATTGTCGGGATCGTACTCCCAGCGAGATCCACGATTGGAGGATCGAATGCATTCCATCTCGACATCCTGTGACCCTTGATGCTGTGGCTGCGTAGTAGCCGGATCTTTGTTTGCCTCGCGTTCTTCGGCCAAGTATCGGTCCATTGCAGCATTGAATAACTTCCGAAAAGTACCGACCTCTCGATCCGAACTCTCGGTGACCGTGGCTTGATCCGTCGGTGCGGATCCATTATCGCGATGGCTGGCACTAATCGGACTAGGACGGCGG